GTCTGCAACCTGCTTGCAGTTCTCATTTGTTGTGCCAGATAGGTCTGCCTGTCAAGCAGCATTTTGGTGGGGTTTTGAGATACAGGAACTCTCCAAAAAAAGATTTTCCTTTAGTTGCCATCCAAATGATTTCAACCCATGTATGCACAGGTAAAGGGGTTCAGGGAATCTCTTGCCTGCTCAGCTCTTTTCCAGTTCTCATTTCCAGCAGTACTGACAATGATAATACAACAATACCTTTTGCTCCTAAATTCAGGTTTATCTACCAGGAATTACTATTGCTGTGTCTGTTAAAGCTTTCTGAGTTGTAAAAAAGAAAATCAATATTCATTTGATGTTTGCAGCTGGAACCTACGCTAGGTAGAAATGTAACGATTTTGCTGTTGTCAGCATAAGTTCAGAACTGAGCTGACAAACAGAAATTCAGAGGAATGACTGAAAAAACTTGTTAGTATGCCTACTCTTAACCCAAGGAAGAAGTGAGCATTTGAACGTTGTCAAAAATGCTTTTTGAGCAGAAGCTTTGGTTACACAGCTCTTGATTCAAGGGGATTTAGAAAAAAAAAAAAAAGGCCTTTATTTGTTAAACCATTTTTTAAATGCAGTCATTGTAAGGATGGCCTTAAACACGCTGAATAATGATTTTGAACGTGTTCTTCTTGTTTGCTTCATTAAAGCATTCCATGTTAGGGAAGGTGAGAGTCTGTGCTGCTCTGCTTTTTTTTTCCTTTTCTCTTCTTGCTTGTCTTCCTAAAGATAGAGAACCAGGGACTCCTTCAGTTCCTGCCTTTGATCAAGACTTGCACTTCTTCTAAGAATAGCAGAATTCCGGACCCTCAAGTTAAACCTTTCCAGGCTTTGTTGTCTTTTAAACACAAATATATTTCTAACTGAGTAGTTCTGTTTTCAGAAGTGCTTAACACTCTGTGAAAGAAGGGTTTAGCACATTTGTAAACAGGATTTGGTCTCTTTTCAGGTTGAAAAATTCAGCTTCCCTATAAAATAGAAACAGTATTTCTGTGTCTAATGTAAACAGGCAGTCATGGGAAATTAATTCATTGATAATAAGGCAACATCTAAAAATCACGGGACAGAAGCTGTTACAGGCTGCATGGGAGAGATTGGCATGGGAGAGATATTCCATTGTTAGCACCCAGAGCCAAACTACGGGTTCATTTTCCTACCACAACTGGATGGCTTGTGCAGGTGTTCTTTATATATTATTTGTCTGTTCTTCATGTATCAAAGACTTCATAAAACTGTGATAGCAAAGACAAAAATGTACTTAAAATAAATGCGCAACATAGAAAACAATAATGACTTGCAAGAATTGAAATGCAGGAAGGTAAATAGAGGGGTGGTGTGTGTGACATCACCTGTGCTGATTGTAGAAACGGTGAGGAATCTAAATCAGAGTCAGGTGGCAACTTGGCTGAAGTTCTGTTTCAAACTGTAACTCTGCTTTGCAAGCTATTGCTCTCATTGCAAAGACAATTTTTTTTTTTTTTTGGTCATTTTTTTAATTCTCCAGTTTAATTTTGTTCCGATCAAATGCTTTGAATATATTTAGCAAAAATGTTCTTCCAGAGATTTAAAAATACGAGGGTTCTTCAAAGAAACTTTATGCAAAGTTGTCAGAAACCCACGCTACTGGCCTAAATTGTCAGGTAACTTTATTTCCTGCGAGGAGGAAGTTGGATATAGATTGTAGTCGTAAGATGATTCATATATTTCTTGCTCATCTCCCAACTGCTTTCCTCCTACAGAAAATACAAGATGCACCATCTCCTACAGATATCTGTGCAAGTCAGTCTCACACACATTCTCTTCCTGTAGACAGATAAGCGAATAATCCAGATATAAACAGATTAAAATAGTTTGACAAGGAATACAGTTCATACAATTTTAATTGATCCAGTAAATCTTTTACGTTTCTGCTCGGTTCAACCAAAGAACTCAAACGACACCCTTGAGTTTATTTTATTCTCACGTTCAAAAATGGATGCTGTTGTGCCACACTTGGAGGATTAATATATGCCAGTCTTTTACATGTAAGCAGAATGTCTTTTTCTTTCCATGAAGATGAGCACTTTGAGAACACCAGAGAGTCCTGGGTTGATTTACAAAGATTAGAAATATTGTTCACATCGCCTGCTTTTTGGCTATGTATGAGCGTGGTATCTGCTGTGTAAATACTGCATTCCGAGCACAAAGGGTCCAGTTCTGCCAGCTTTGCCATTCAGACAGTCTCATTAAGACAAATAAAAAGTCTCAGGCAGGATTAAGACTTTGCTACACGATACATAAACTTTTTCCCATGCTATGGAGATGAGTAAGCTCTCTTGTGGATTTTTTTTAATGGATGGAAAAGAAGGGAGAATTAGAAAAAGAGATCTTCATTTTTTTCTCATCAAACCACAGGTTTTCAATGCATATGTGATTTAGTAGCATGTCCGTCAAAATAGGAAGGATAACAATTTTGTAAAAACAAGCCCCCAAATATTATTTTAGTATTCAGTAATGGAATGCATGACACTGAGATGCATTTATCCTAAAAATTGGCCTGCACTGACATTGGGAATCATCTAATATAATGACAAAAAGCTCTTCCAAAGGATAAAGTGATTCAGCTGACAAACTGGCAATTACTCCCACTGACTTTTCAAGTCTGTCTTTAAATAAAACATTTGTTAAAACATTCCGCTCTATGCCTCGTGTCACCCGCAGCATGATGAATGCTGCGTTACATTCTATCACTTGTTTTCAATTAAAAATATTTCAAAGCATGTTGATGTAGCTGGAAATGCACAGGTTTTAGATTTTTGGAAGAACAAGATTTACTTTTTGGTGCTGACTAGCAAAGACTAACGAAATGGGTGTATTAGTTAATTTAATGGCTACAGATTTATTCACTCATAAGGAATCTACATTCTGTTTATACTTCATAACCACCATTGATCATAACTACTGTTATTGCAGAGCCAAATAAAGCCAGATTGGATTGTCTTTAGTTGCCCAGTTGTTCTCTGCCCTGTGCACTGATTAGATATTTGCAGCAGTTGAATTGTAGCTCTACAGTGTTGTGATTCTTTGGTTGCTGTTTTCAGCACACAGGCTTTGGGATAACAAGGCATCATGGCCAATGAATATTACCAGAAGACATTAATCCAGTTAGTTTAGCATAATTTATTAGGCAGCACACAAACTAATCATGTGTCCCTGTGTTAAATATGATGGCACTGCAGAAGAGAGAGATCCCATTTTTTAAGCTGAAAGCAGGTTCAAGGCAGGGTTTGTTGAGAGAGGCCATGTGTCTAACTCAGCTGACTGTCTGCACACAGCTCTTTGTACTCCTTGGAACCACTGTCGCTGAAGAAGAGAGCTAAATAATACCTTATGCACCTGAAAACTTATCTTTGTTGCTTGATTACTCCACCTACACAGAATTGGGATATTTAAGACTTGAGAGAAAATGAAAGTTGTAGGAAATGCCAGCATACGGAATTGCTGAGGAAACAGAAGCTGAATAGTTTGAATTTTCTCTTGTCCAGGGAACTCTCTTTCCTGTGAGAGTGGTGATGCCCTGGCACAGGTTGCCCAGAGAAGCTGTGGATGCCCCATCCCTGAAACTGTTAAAGGCCAGGTTGGGTGGGGCTTGGAGCAACCTGATGGCTTTGGAAACTGTATCTGTTCTCCCAGTGTTTTATAGAAATTTTCAAACATTTAAATCACCTGTTCTGAGCTTCTGAATTTCAACTTTCTTCACGGTTATTAATTTATAATCACTTTAGTTCACCTACATAGGGTAATATAGTATCTTTGATTTTTTAATATCTTTTTAAGATTGATATTTATGGTGTATTTATAACATCCTATTTGAATACCATTAAGCAGTGTGGTAAAAAATTATGTAATATATCTGCTATGACATGTTGAATAATGTATATGATTGTTTCTCTGAGAAAGAAAGAAGCTTCTCAGGCCCTCAATAACAACACTATAAATTATTTGTAACAAGTTCACTACCATTTAAGTTAGTAATTGCTTCAGGATAGCATGACTCTGATCCAAAAAAAATAAAATTCTCGAGACTAGTACATAGAAACTCATGAGCAAAATTAACTTGTAAACTGCAATGGTAAAGTAACCATTGAGATTAACTCTTCAGAAAAAATCTGGTTTATATATATACGAAGCTGCTCTCCCTCTCCTCTACTTCCCTTCTTTCTGTCTTTTTTTGGCTGCTGACTGTAATGTCTACACATACATGGTGATGTCTATGGGGCTCTGTATGGATAGTAATAAATAATAGCATCTCCAACTGATGTTCCTAGAAATGACAGATTCTGAAATATAGTCAGTCATCTGACATATAAATCTGCCTTTTCAATGTTAGCAAATAATACTTCTCTTCTAGATTTGTCAGCTGCCTTTTAGATTCATGGTCTCATTGGTTTGGTTGATGCATCTTTCAAACAACATGGGATAATCAAAGTTGCCCTTGTTGGATCCCATTAGAATCTTATTAAGAAACCCCCCAAGGCAATGGACTGCACACCCCCAGAGCTTGGTGCTCTTGGCTTTCTCATTACTCCTGCATGGGTTTCAGATAAGTGATTATGCAGCTCTCCCATGCAGGACCCATGGTTAATCTGGGTGAAGATTAGAGGATACTTGCTTACAAGGTTGCCAAAACGTAAAGAAAATATTTTATCAATTATATATTATATAATATTGACCCTTCCAACACTTTTTATTGTTGTTGGGGGGATTGGAGTGAGAGGGAAGTTGGTTTTTTGGGTTGGTTTGTCTTGTTAAATCGTTGTGGTAGATTTGAGTGGCGGTTCATTTAATAATACTACATTTTAACAAAGCATATTTTCTAATAGCCCACCTAGGGTGCTGTCTTATCTAAAATGCTAAGGAGACTAATAAGAAAAATAAAGTTGAAGTACATTAAGTCCAACACATGAATGTTTTGTCTGTTTTTTCCTGTGCAGGAATTCAAAATTGTTCAGTGGTGCTGTTGTGGATTTCTGAGCCTCCGAGACAGGACCAGCAGCCACAGAGGTACCTGGCATTCACGTGAGTCTGTTGTTCTCTTGATGCCAAACAAAATATCCTCCAAGGTTTCCAGGCAATTGTTAAGCTTAAATAGAACAATCAAACTTAATTAACGTAGTTTATCAGTCAGATGAGTTCAAATGACAGAGAGTACATTTGAATGATTTCGACAGTTTTCATTTTCTTAGCAGGAACTAGACCTTTGTTTATGATAAGTCAGCATACCTGCATCTGCTGAGGCTCTTGTTCTACATCCCTAATGAATTCAACAGTTTTTAATCTGCTGGATAGATAGAGGTGCACACAGACGTGAATGTGTTCACTTGCAACAGGGCCAATGTGCTCTAATGCAAAGCAGCCACTGGAAATGCTTCCATTTGAGGAGGTTGTTGTTTGATGAGGGTGATGGTTTGGCACTGTGAGAAATGGTTACCAGGTCATGCTGTGGGCTGAACTGTAGGTAACATGAAGATTCTTGCACCTTATCAATCTTAATCAGATACCCTCCTGAATGTTATAAAATATGTCAGTACCAGATGATACAAATAGTGGTGTTCTCCTGGGGTTCCTTATCTTTGGTTCCTTGTCTTCAGTCTCTTATCTGAACATGCATTTGATTTTTCCCCTCTGAAATGCCCAATAATTTTAGAGCTGAAAGCGAACCCTTTGAACTAAGAAGTTTTAGCCCCAGTAAATCCAGAACTGAAGAGTAAAATACTAAGTAATGACAGCAAAAAAATGCATGAAGCTTTGAAATATTGGACCTCAAGGCAAAATATACAAGAGTGTCAAAGATGCAAGGTGGGAGAACAAGAAAACCTTTGTCACCCAATGTGGCTCTTGGGGAATTTTGGTATTGTTTGTTTACTTTTATTGGCCAAGGGTAAGGGATCCCTGTCTTGTTGCAATTCTCTGCATGTACTATGTTGATTCAGAGTTTTATTAATGTGATCTTGAATCATGTGGAAGGAAGAAAAGGGCAGCCTGTTTACAGGCAAAGGGCTTGTGTAGTGATGATTCTAAGGTGGTACCAGCACCATAGGGTGGCCAATGTGGGCACAAGTATAACCTCTAGATATTTTAAAGAAAATATCAGGCCACAGGAGTTAAATTTGAAGGGAAAAGAACTCCAAGCCTGCAGATAACATCCTCAAACAGTATGGGACTGAACATGCATTAAATTAAGAAATCTGTGGGCTTGTAACACATCAAGCTGAATGGTTACTTCTGTATCCTGCAATAACCAGGTAAGAATGCAGTTACACATAGATGTATTATAAATACATGCTAATTGCTGTCAGCAGTTGTGTTTTGAAGATCATGCATTTTTTATGCGTAGCAAGGTGTTAAAATATCCTTACTAGTTATTTCTGCATCATAGCATCCTTGTTGAAAAAGCACTAGCAGGAAAGTCTTCCATTTTAGTATTTCCAGCAAGACTTTGAAAGCTCCCGGTGAAGGTGCAAGGGGGATGTGACAGACATTGCATTAACATAAAGCTCAGAATACTTATCAGCGTCTGCTTCCCAGGGAAGCAGTCACTCAGCTTCCTGAAAAGGCAAAACACATAAAGAGACTGGGATCTGTTATCAGCCCTTTTGGGCAGAACTGTGGTACAGAGTGCTCTGCTTAATATTGCTTATCACTAATTCTGTGCATGATAACTGAAGCATGAACAATATCCGAGTGGGAAGCAAACTAGATCTATAGCTGCATAGTCAAGCCTAGCAAAACATATTGCTGAGCTCCTATAGCCAAACAGTTCTGCAGAATATCAGCTGAAACAGGATGTTCCAGCTCACTGGGCCTCCACTCACCATATGCTTGTGCAGCCTCACCTGTAATAGCAAATAACTGTGCTCAAGGGCAGGGTGCATTAAAAATTAGGAAGGGATGCTGGAGTGAACCTGCATGATATTGAAAACTGATGGGTTTTGTTACTTGCTGTGTCCTACTGAGTTTGTGAGGCAATGACGAGGAAGTTATTGAGCCTTGGTGAAATCACTCACATGAGTGAGGAGTGTATATCCCTCTTAAAAATATATATTTGCAAAGTCTTGCTGTGGAGATTACCCTGAAGAAAATTCACTGTCTCACTTTTCATTCTATGAGAGAAGTAAGGGAAAGATTGATGGTGTTGCTCTGTGGCTTGTCTGTTTAAACAGGAAAGGTTCTCTCTTCTGAGCTTATCCCATACAGGAGGAATCATCTGTGTATTATGACCAGGCAGAAAGTGTTTCTGAGAACACAGGATGAGGGTGGGATTCCAGGACAGTCACTGCATCCTTCATGCACCTGTGTTAGCTGTGGGTCACAAACCTTACACTGGTGAAGAACCTGAGGATGTTCTCTGGTTTTAAAGCAGAACCTAAGGATCATCCTGAATTATTAATGTCTTAGTTTATAATAATGTGCTCAATAGAAGATTTTTTTTTTTTTTATGTAGTCACATGTAGCTACAAACTATTTTTCTGGGAATTCATGCACAAATGCTACCATTAGTCCATTGTGAGGAAATACATGAGGCTTATATTTCCCTGTTCTTTTAACAGCAAAAAAAGCTATTTGCACTATAACCACACTTAGAGGAAATAATTGAGATGTTTAGCTAGACCAAGTGTCTATCAACATGATACTTTTTCTATGTATAAGGCTAAGACATCTTCAGAAAGTTTCAAGGCTTGAGGACTGAGTTACAGACAGGCCCAGCAGCAATCAGTGGTTTTGAAGTTTCAAGCTGGACTTAGAAGGGGGAGGATGTTTCGTTTTAATTCAAAGGAAAAAGCCTAAAGCAAAGAGAATATCACTGTGTGTTTACCTCCTTTTCATTTATATTTGGTCCTATAATTACAATTTCATCTGAGTGGATGGGTCCTGGCACCTCCTCAAAGCCTTGGTGGGGATCTGGTGCTGCTTCCCAGACAGGTTGGAATGGGGCTTCCATCCGTGTTAAAAACTGGAAGAACAAAATCATAAGGCAAAGGGAAGAGGGATGTTGTCTTTCTTTGGTCACAGTCACTGTCACAGTCAGTGCACTGTGACATCTGCATGTCTTACTGTGAGTTAAACACCATTTTTGCCACTGATAGACAATCTTTACAAAGATTCTCCCCCGCTGGCCAGTGGCTGTGGAATCCAGCTGTGGAGAGAGTCCAGGCAGGATTGCCATGAGCTCCCTGGGAAATCTTTTTAATAAATGTGGTTCCATATCCAGTGTTGATTTGGATAAACAAGATCTCAGGTTGTTTAGGCTTAGTGCTAGATAGCACCTTCTTCACCAAAAATATTTTTCTCTGTTTATTCTAAAAATCAGTGTTTTTATGAATAATCTTGATCCTAGTTATATGTTTTTTTCTCTATAAATGTACCCTTCTGGTAACACTGAGGGCAATAATAAGCTCGTGCCAAGTGCAAGTCAAATATGGGCAATTGCTAAGGGAAAATATTAGGAACTGCTATAAAATCATGTGCCATTAACAGCATTTTATTTTGACCATAAATGGCAATAATTATTCTTTTATGAATATTTCAGAAGACTGGGACAGGTTATTGGGACAGGATGAGATAGGAAATTGTTCAATTTAACTGTACTTTCTTCACATTAGATACTGCCGTTTTCCTTTTTAAAACACTATTTGTCATTTCTGTCCAAATAATTAATTTGAGCAGTAGGTAAATGCTCTTGTGGTATCAGTTACAACTTCATCATTCTAAGAAGTGCACGTGTAAATGAGCACACGTGCATGGAAATAAACATGTAGGGTACCTGGTGGTGCAAAAAAGCATCCAAAGTAGGTTTCTAACTGAGCTCTGTAGGCCATGGCACCAATTTCATGCTTGGTGAAAACCCTGTGTTGCTTAAACCATCTTGATAACCAGAATAAAATGATGAATTTGTTCACATTAATTAAACATATTACCTAAATGTTGCATTATGAATGCTCTTATATCTTTGCTGGTTTTCATTTCTGCTTTATGAGAAGGCCTAGAGAACATGAGATGTGTTGAGAAGGGAAGAGAATTAGAAAATACTTTGAAAATTTTAAATTAAACATTCCATATAGTTCCTTAGAGCAAAATTACAACGCATTTAGGAGAAAGAAATGCCAGTCAAAACACCAGAACCAATATTAGTAGTGACCCTCAAAGAATTTGCAAGCAGGCGGGTTAATCTTTTTTTCTTCCAATATACCTATCTGAACTCCAGCACAAAGTAATTAATTACAGGTTCTGGTACAGAAATGCATCAAATATCATCTTTAGATGTCTGCCTTTTCATAACACACTAATTAGTCCTTTTTACACTGTGACTTTGTTATAATGCAGGGGGTGGTAGAACAATACTGACATTTGAAAGGGCCGGACTTGCATTCCCTGCTAATCCACTGGAGTCACACAAACTGCTTTTCTTAGTTACCAGACAAAAGCAGCAGGCTTTGTTCGAGGCTGCTTTGCTGTATAGATGTATAAATAAACCCTAGCTTATTTAACTGGATTGTTTTTCATCTCTGAGTATTTGGGGGTTTTTTTCCTCCTGGAAAGGCTCTGACATCCCACTGCTGCTGCTGACGGGCTGTGCTGACCCTGCCTGTTGCCAGGGGACTGCCCAGAGTCTTCACTGAATTCAATCTGCCTTCTGATGTCCAGTTGCTTTCCTAGTTTGCTTAACTGTTTGTGGGTTTCAGTCCAGTTCCCCCAGGACTCGAATCTGCCAGAATTAACAGTTTGGAGGCTTGGCCAGCTCTCATTCCCCTGTGTTCTCTGACTCCACCTGTGCATGAGAAGCTTTCCACTGACATTTTCATGGAAAAAAATGAGCAATTTAACATATGAAGTAGAGAATTTTCTATAAAAAGGAAGGAAAGAGAATGTATCATTTCCATCTTTTAAAAACTGAATGCTGAAAAATGTACATTAACTGTGGGAACCTGTTCTGAGAGCACTTCAGTGGATTTAGAAAACAGCTGTTTGGTTTCCTGTACAGTGTTTCTATAAGGCCCTGGGTTTATTTTTCATACCAT